CAAACATTGTCCTGCCTAACCTCAGAAAACAAAAATGGGCTCAGGGTTGATCTGTCTCACATGGGAGGTCCCTGCTGTGGGAACGCACAAAAAAATATGAGTCACTCAAAAACATACTTGAAAACGGCCAGTACTGAAAAAGGAATAATTCACCTTCGAGGCTGAAACCATTTTGCACCAGTTCTAAATTGGGGCATCCTCTCAATTCATGTCCCTTAACCAGAGCACAGCCTGAAGCCAAAGAAGCACCTACCAGAGACACACAGATGAGTTCTGATATTGTTTTAGACACTTGTGTCTAAAAGCTTCAACCTTAACTCCAAATTGACAAAATGTTTGCTCATTTTTTTTGTTTGCTAGTGAGGATGTTAGGTCCTCAAAAGGATGGCGGTACTACACAGCGTGCACGCACAAACAGACGAGCAGACGGCACAGATCTGCAGGCAGACAGTCTGAGCCCGGGGAATGTGCTACAGCATCACTTCCACGCTCACACTATCAAAGTCAGCATTTAGAAGCTGTCACCACACAGACAGAACACTCTCTCGTCCTCATTTGGCATATATGCAGGTCAAGACGTTAAAGGCAACAAAAACTGTCCATCCCGTCAAGTCGTAATTTCTTTTGTTTCTCCCCCATACAGTGGTTCAGCTTTTTTCTCTCATATAGCTTTGTGCAATTACCTGCCTTATTAATATATTGATTCTTCTTTGTAGAAACTTGTGAAATCAAGTGCAAATGAGCTCATATAACTGCCAGATATATACAACTGGTTCTAGAAAAATGGCTTCATATCAGACTCATTAAAGCTTATGCAGCTTTTGCTTATTCTTTATGCAATCTTTACTTTTCTGGTCAAATGTTCTCAGCATGGAGACTCAAAAAAAACGAATGCAGTTATGGGATTCAAGGTAGATTCATAATCGTCTTATTTATCATTTTTATAATTGTTAACATGAGCAGACTAGAACAAATCCAACAAAAACTGTAATGGAAAGAGTCTGCAGGGTTCGCCGAACCTACTTGCCGCTTATATTGAGGCTGTTCAGGGGAAAAAAGTGCACTTTTCTTGCAACAATATTCATTATTTGGAGAATAATACGTGATGAACATGATGATGAACTCATGATGTTCATTTTCCTGCTCTATATTTTTTCCCTTGCACTCTAGAAGGGCCAGCCTGGTGGTCAGCTCTGTCTTCTCACAGCATGAACATCCTGGGTTTGAATCCTGCAGCAAGATAGTGATGTCATGGTCCCAGCACTTTGACCCACTTATACAGAAAATCAAGATACCTCCTGCTTGTTTTTTCATGTTATATTCTCAGACTTTCTTACTTTTAATCTCCTGTCTCATTCTCAGTGATTAGTTTCACTTGTACCTTGTTTCAGTCATTTCTTGTGTTTCTAATTGGCCTTTAGTGTATTTAAAGCCGCAACATGCCTTAGTACCTTGTCACGTCTTACTTTTTGTCTCCCAGAGTGTTTACCTGTTTGGAGCTCTATGGACTTTTGTTTGTTTCTTTGTTTGTTTTTACTTTGCCTCAAAGGTCCACATTTCCCTCAAACATGACAGAATGATGGACCCAGCTGACGTTGATGTACTTTCTGGGGAGCTTAAAGACGGGTTTGTGTGGTGCTGTAAGATTTCCACCTGGATTCTTGGATCCACAAACATTAAAACCCTGTGAGTGGGAGCTTCTGCCACAAAAAGAAGAATCAACAAACATCCACAATTCCTTCAGTCTCCCACAAGTTCGGACAGTTTTCCCAATAGCTGCAAAGCAGAAAGATGACTGCAGTTGCTCAGATGTAAGTAGTATCTGAGTCTCCTTAACTCCTTAAATCGATCTGCTTCATCCGATTTCCAGTCACTTGTTCCTGCTACCTACCTGGCCAACAACCACAACCAGAGGATGACGAACTAGCCTCCCTTGACCCTCCAGCTGCTACATCCACAACCCAGTCATCCTGCTCCACATAGTAACTGGCTGCACCATCCACTGCCAACCTGCCAGAGCCCACTTCCTGCATTTTATCATCTTTTAAGAAGTCCTCAGTGACACAGCAGTGGTCCAGCTCCGAACTTTACTGCAATGGATATGGATATGAAAGAAAATGGCCTCTAGAGCAGCGGTCCCCAACCTTTTTTGCGCCACGGACCGGTTTATGCCCGACAATATTTTCATGGACCGGCCTTTAAGGTGTTGCGGATAAATACAACAAAATAAAACTAGTACCGGTACCGAAAAAAAGAAGATTTAATCATAACACACGTGAAAAGACCAAGGAAAACCGAGTAAACGATAAAAACGATAACAAAATAACGCTGAAAACCGATAAAAACCC